GCAGATTTTCAATGAACTAAATTGGAAAGCGAAGATTGTGCAGATTTTGAGCGAATATAATTTTGGAAACTAAGAGCTATATATAGTAAACGATGCGAGAGAATTAGGAGGGGATCAATTCATCCATCCATCCACACATCGATGCATTCATCCAATCGAATACCCATTCTATCATGGACAATTGAGCCGCCCATTCAAACCGTTAACCATTCTCTCTATCGGACGAAAATTCTCTAGAAAGCTCGAGATTTTCTAGCAACCACCTATTGTCTCTATAGCCGTTGGAGACAAACAATAGAGATTTGGCAAGGACTTATACTTAAGCCAAAATAGAGACCAACCTTAGTCGAAGTAGAGCCAAACCGCATTTTTTATAAATCTCCGATTTTATTGCTTTCAATTCTTGATTGTGAAAAAATAGAAATTATTTTTCTTAAATCAATGGATGTTTATCTTTCAAATATGATCTAAATTCTATCTTGAGAATTAAGGGATCCTTTTATTGAATATGTTTAATTAAAATGGTTAGTTAATTGTTCTTGCCATTAGTTCCGTAATTCGAAATTATTTATATGTTTGTGTTTGGACAATAGTTATATATCCGTGGTATTGAGTTGAGATCAATTGATAAAATTAAATACCGGCCTCAAGGATTATAGAGACTAGGTTATCAATAAGAAATCTAGTAACTCGGTAATGAAAGATTAATAAAAGGATTAATTAATTTAATTGAGCTTTAGACTTTCCGAATATGAAAGTTATGAAGGTATTTAGCTAATTAAATTAATGTCGGTTTACTAATTTCGACAAGAATAATTATTTAAGGAATTTTAATTAAACGTAGGATTTAATTAATGGAGTTAATTTCTCAAGATTTTTCTCACCTTGATTTCTATTCCCAGTTTTGTTATGATTGTAGTATTTTTTTCATTGCTTTTTAATTTATAATTTTCAAATCACAATTTGGTTAGAGTGCTTAGGATTTTACTTTATTGTTCTTGTTTGCAATTAGGATTAAATTATTTTATTCCAATAACATCTCTTTGAGAATACGACCTTGGGGTGACTCACTAGTACTATAATTACCTCATACACTTGCGGTATTTACCATTTGATTTTTAGTACACTTTTGGGCGCATAAAAAATCATGAATAAGATTCTTCTTTCAACATAATGATGTGCATGAGCATATATATTTGAATGAAATGCATTACAATAAACATGACTATGGCATGCATACCATTTCACCTCAAGAACATGTATAAAAATTATAAATCCTCCACATGTTTCAAATAATTAAGTATGCATGCAACATAAAAACCTATCACGCACAATCCATAAGCATGATAAACATCACATCATAATCAATCAAACAACCATCATAAGTAATCCATTTTTTCATAAGAACATGACCTTTTCCATACCATTTATACCTCTAAATCTCATATTTAGTCTTTACCTTACATTTACCTCTCTTTTCCTTTGTTCTAATGTTTGGCTAAATGAGGTAAAAAAGAAGGGACAATTATCATTTCATTTAATTGACCTAATAAATGTCTTTATGATACCAAAAACTTGGTAGGCATTAAACAACGTAATCTTAATCTATCCATGCTTTGAAGTTCTCATAACCACCTTCTTCTTAGAACCAGGACAACATCCAACATAAAAATTCATATCAATTTGAGCATTCAACATCATTTTTCCTCACATCATACATATTTGAGGAATAACAAACCAATCCACTTTAATCGTAAACATACAATTCTCAATAATCCTAATTACAATCCCTTCATAAAGTAAACCCTAAATTAACACCTAGTTACACCTCAAACGTCAAGCTCTTATGGTGTAGGTGAGGAATTATACTAACCTCGCTTAGAATTTTCGTCTTTCTTTTTCTTTTTCTCCTTGGCTCTTTTCTTCCTCTTCTTTAAAAAATTTTGACCAAATTGGAGAAATTCTTCATTTCTCCTTTCTTGATCTTCTAAAATGGTTTAAAGGCTAATTTAAGGTGTTTCTAAGTGGATTAAAGCTATTGAGAGTGGTGGATTTAGATGGGTGAAGTCTCTCTCTCTCTTTATTTTGCCCTAGATTTTCTCTTCTTCTTCGTCCTTTTTCTTTTTCCTTTTCTTTCTCTCTCCCCATTTTTTCTCTCTCTTTAAAATCTAGAAATCTAGTTTTTTCTACCCTTAGATTCAACCGGGGTGTCTTTCACATTATAGATACTTTATAGCTTAGTCCTCTAAATTTCAATTCTTGTAATTTGATCATACAATCTCGATCAATAACTTTATATTTTTCATGAATTTGGCCCTCATCTAGGCCAATCCAAAAGTCATTCAAGTCCCTAATATTTTATAATCCTTCATGTAAGGACCTTAACACTAAATCTTTACGATCATAACCTTATATTTTGTAATTATGCCTCTATGGCAATGCATAACCCTATCAATTAAGGGTATCATAACCTAACTCAAACCTCCCTTATTCCATAAACCCATTTCATAAAATTTTACTTATGTTTCCTCTATCCTTAACCGAACTTCAAATTTTCTCACTCATTAAATAATTAAACCTTTTATTAATTAAACAAAATATACATACACCATAATTACATTCCTATGAGGGTTTTAGATCATGGATATTACATGGACAACTTGACTTAACCCAAGGATTTAAGGATAGTCAATTGTTATTGTGTTTTGGACTAATTAAATGTTAATTGGGTTAATTAGGTGAACTTTCATTTGTTAAAATGAAAAATTGGGATTGGTTACACTAGAGGTATGTTTCGACTATGGTTGAAGGAAATTAGCTTAAATTGTTGATTGGCCTAATTTGGATGAATTGATAGATTGCATGTCAATTGATGGATTAGGGGGAAAATTGACAAAATGGATGTTATTCCTTGAAGGGTAGGTTTTGGCCTAACTAGAAATTTAAGGAATATGGGGTTGATTCATGAATAATTGTATCATAATGACTTAAAATGAACGAAATGGCATAAAAAATGGAAGAGTAAATGATGAAAATGATTTGTTTAATTCACTTACATAGTTCGACCATTCCAAGTGAACTTTACATGATTGTTGGATTAGTTGTTGAATCATGTATGTTTTGATGGTTTAGAACATGTTTTTGGATGATTTGTGCTTAGTTGGAAGGGTGGAATTGATTGATATTGTTTGGCCAAGTTTATGTTTTTACATGGTTAATGGTATTTTTCGATGAATGATTAAGGATATGTATGATTTGAATTTATTGGTACATGTTATGTTTGAAATATTTACATGTATATTTATTTATTAAGCATGCATAAATGAGTTAAGGTTAAGGCAATGCATTTCATTTAAATGTATTTTCAAATCAATACAATGAAAATGATTTTACTTCATGGTTTTAAAGAAAGGAAAAGGAATACGACAAGATTTGAAAAGTAAATGGGTGGACACCTTCCCAAGGAAAAGGAAAAGGAAAAGAAAAAGGAAATGACATTATTATGCGAGAGGACTCAATCAATCTTTCATGAGAAAAAAAGGAAAAGGAAAAGGATTCTTTTTGAAAAGAAAGAATGAGGAGTGTCTTTTATATTGTTCTTTTTGAAAGGAAAGAATGAGGAAAATGGAAGGTGTCTAATGCTTTTGTGATTTTTCACAAATTGCTTATTTTAAAAGAAGGTCGATTATGTACACAATTCGATATGATGCACATGAGGTGGAAAATAAATTTCAAAAGGCCTAAAAATGTTTTTAAAATGTACCACATGCATTTTATCCATGCTATGCATTATATGCATTGCATGGACTACACTTACTAAGCAACTCTCGCCTAGTTTCTTATGGTGTTGGTGATAAAAGGTTAGAAGATGATTATCACCGACGAGGATGATGGACTTGCCAATGTGAGCGCTTAATTATTAGTAGTGACTAAGACACATTTATTTCTATTTTATTATGTTTTTGAGATTAAAATATGGCACATAAAATACAATACAACTTTCCTTAATATTAGATGGGATGTGTATGTCTAATTTTACTTAATTGGTAACTTGATGACATTCACTAATTGTTATGCGAGTTTAAATGAGATAAAGATTAATAAAGTAAGTAAGGAATTAATTTGATGTTAATTGGAACCAATAACTAAATGGTTAAAGATTTAATGGTAAGGAAAGAATGGTTTTAATGCTTAAAGGAATTAATTGATTTTAATAAGTTTGGAATACATGAATTTAATGAAATATTTTATTGGTAAGTTCAAATGTATTAGAACAAAAGTTCCATAAGCCCAAATATTATTTAAAATGGTAAATTATCTAATCAAAGGCCTAATTGAATTTAATTTATGTTCAATTGAATTAATTAATTGATTTTCAAATTTTAGGAATTTTTATTACAATAGTAGCATTAATTCAAGTTTTAATGGTTTAATATATATCTTCTAATTAAATTACTATATTATAATTAAATTGGTTCTGAAGTGGAAGTAATGAAAATTTATTCCATTGAACTAATTTGATTATTTTTTTATGGAATATATTTATTTTTAACTAAATCCAAAATTTTACAAAGAATTTAAGAAAAATAAAAGACAATGAACTATTTAATTTAATCAAAGGTATTTTATTTAAATGATTAAATTGGTTTCTAAGAATATGAGTTTTTGACCCAATTTTTGTATTTAATATTTCCACACATGATGTGATATTATTATTTGGTATTAGAAAAATTTTTATAATTTTTTAAATTAAAGTTTTAATTAAAGTGGACCTATTATTTCCATATTTATTAGGAACCCCCATCAAAAAGTATCCTTTTGTTAGTCATTTTATAATGTTAAGGAAGGAGAATTGTTGGTTTGCATTCATTACACCTAGAATGTATGTCAACGTTACTTATGCTCTTGGCCTATCTAGGTCCAAGTTCGGTGGTGTTACACATACGTTGTTGAAACAACAAACCTAAAAGAGATAGGTCACCCGAACATTAAACCTATAGGAGGCACATTGCCCAAAACAACAAACCAAATTGGGTAGGTTATCGCACGACGAAGTAGGTGCGAGGGCGACGAATTTACGCAAAAATAGGGAAAATGGGCAAAAATTATTGAAGTCGCCACCTTGTTTTATGATCACTAAGAAACCCTATGATTAGTCTATTCAAATTTCCGGACAACGAGTTTATTATATGTAGTGAAGATTAAAAATCATCCTACCATGTCCCGACTAAGGCAAGTCGCATTGGATGCAAAACTAACTCGATTTTTTATTTTTTTAACAATGAAAGTCTATACCTATCTTTTATTTACTTTCTCACTAGTCGAGTTATTTGAAACTTGATTGGTTTGAGACTTTTTCCTCACTCTATAATGAATAGCTAAAAAGCCGATAAATGCAAGGATATCCTATTAATGCAAGTTAAACAACGTGCTCGAAAACAAAACTTAAAAATAAGCAAATAGGTAAATAGACAAAACAAGCCAATTGATAAAATTGACAAATAGTCGATTAGACAAAAATAAGCAAAATTGGCAAAAATGGGCAAACATGCGAACAATGGCAAAATCGATAAATTGACAAAGTTGACAAATTGGCAAATAGGCAAATAAGCAAAGTTGGCAAAAGCGATAAATAAACAAATTGACAAAATAGGCAAATAGGCAAAATTAGAAAAATCCATAAATTAGCAAAATCAGCAAATCAAAAAATTGAAAAAATCGATAAATTGGCAAATAGACAAATAGGTAATTAGGCAAAATCAGCAAAAATTGGCAATTGGGCAAAAAATCAACAAATAGGCAAAATTGACAAAATCAACAAAATAGGTAAAATCGACAATTCAACAAAATTGAGAAATTGATAAAATCGATAATTAGGTAAAATTGACAAATTAGCAAAATTGGTAATTATACAAAATCGACAAAATAGGCTAAATCGACAACTATCCTAAACTCAACGAAAATTGACGATTAGGCTCAAATCGAAAAAAGAAAAAAATTGATAAAGATAATTGTCACGACTTGTATGATTGATTGTATTTGACGAAACAAGTTCAAAAAATAAAATCTAAACTTGCTTGATTCAACGTTGTGTTTTTTTATTTTAATAAACTTCCATGCAAATAATTTAACATTATTGTGGACAAAATGGTCTAAAAACATGATTTTAACCGAGGCCACACAAAAGTCACATCTTTAGGATGGGTTGACACAATTTTATTGATCATCATGATTGACCAAGAAATCATCCAAACACGACCCCATTCATCCAAACACATCTAAGCAAAGACATCATCCAATCACTACAAACGCAATAACGAGTTAATTACACACACCATGACATTTCAACCAAATCGCATATAAGCAAAAAATTAAACTAATTATACAACATAAAAAATTAATTAATTATAGGCACATTAGCACAAATCAAATTTAATACACGTTAAAATAAAATGAAATTAAAAGAAAGTTCAAAACAATTTACCGTAAATAGGAGGAAGATTAGTTATCAAATGGGGACCTACTCTAGATCTTTTTAACCCCGATGAAGACTAATATTTAGTCAATCGAAGAGGAAATTTGATTATTGTTAATTGGATCCGATCAAAATGGCATGGAGCAATGACTCGATTAGTGTTCATTATAGTTACTGGATCGAATGAATTGTTGGAGGTTACTAGCCGAATCGAAGATAAGGCTAAAGGCATGGATTTGATCAAACCAAATCGGGAGAAGCCCGGAGTTGATCGGATTGGCATCGAATGAGAGAAGAGTGAGCATCGAACATTGAGTAGTTGTTTGTGGAACGTGACTCGGGTTAGATCCGGTCGGGAAGAAGGCCAAAGGCATGTATCGACATCGAAATGGAGAGGAATGGTCGTTGGTCATACATGAATGGCTAAGAGACTATTGGTCCGAGTCTCGAATGATCAGGGTTGCTTATCGATCCGAACGATGGCTATTGGTCCGATCTCGAATGGTAGCTACTAGTCCGATCTAGATGGTCGCTACTAGTCCGATTTGAATAAGCGGGGAGCTCTAGTTTGGCTTGGTGTGGTTGAAAGTCGTTGACCGAAGGCATCGGATTTGGAACGTGGTCGTTAGTTGACATGGTAGCTACTAGAGTGAAGTTGGACGGACGACTAGACCACTAAATCTGTTTTGATCGATCGGAGATCTAGCCGAAAAGTTTTAGTTCGGGCCGGCCATTTGGGTTTGGTGGAGAAAATCGGGTTTGACCATAATTTTTTAGGTGAGGGTGGCTAGCCAAAATTCAATTTTGAGAGAGAGAGAGTCGGTTGAATTTTTTAAAGAGAGAATGGTCGCTAATTTTAAAGAGAAAAGAGAGTTTTTATACTAGGTTTTTAGGGTTTTTTTTTTTTTTGCTAAGTTTGGTTTGGTCCCTCTATTTACAAGCTTGTTTTATTTTGGTCTTCTTTGCTCTTGTTTTCAATTACACCCCTCGATTCTATTTTTTTCTTTCTTTTTCTTTTCTTTTTTATTTCTCCGGAAAAAAGTTAGGTGTTAATAATTGCTCCCTCTTTACAATGCTTATGACGTAGAACCTCTCGTAAAATTAACTTTTCTTTGACTTTGCATTGCAAACTTGTAAAGAAAATCATAGAAGAATAAAATCAAGCAAATCAATCAACAAGGTCAAATGATGGTTGGTTGTCCTTAATTCACCGGTCAATTGTGCGGGGCTTTCCTCTAAACACGAGTTAATACGAGTAACCATGCCTAAAGTAAAAAAGGTGACCTTCCCTTAGCATTGAACGAGAGTGGAAGCAACATACCCGATTTTCATTAAAGAAACATAAATTGTCATGCCGAATATAAACTTCCCCCTTTTCTCCTCATTTGCAAGCCATCATCATCCGAATAAGTTTGAGGTTTTAGGCTAGCTACTCTTGGTGATTTTTATTTACTCAATCCCATGTCTTTTGATCACTTCCATTTTAAAATTTTTGATCGAGCTATCATCCATGTTATTAGAATGGCATTTGCTCTTATTTTTAGGCAAGTAGTTGTTCGTTCTTTCATTCTCTAGGACTACCGCCCTAAGTGTTCAATTTTTATCAATACATATTAAGAAATCTAACCCAAAAATCTTTGAGATACTCTTTAGCATCACCATCTTTAATTCATCGGGAATGATTTTTTATCCGGTTTCACAATGAAAACCTTCTTGTTTGCCAAGTATAAGCAAACTCTTATAATGTTATCATCATGTTTCACAAATAATATCACTCACAAGATCGTGCATTTAACCAAAGAAAAGGCTTTGTAGGGACTAATCATATTTATGAAAATCGAGGCCATTTTGAAAGATATAAAAAGAGAAAATCATGTTATGTTGGGTAAAGCAAGAATAAGAAAAGCAAAGTTGAAATGATCACTCTAATGAATTTTAGCCATAACTTAAATGATTTCTTTGTTGTTCTAGATAAAAGTTAAGTCACTATGATTTGATTTTGATTTCTTTTGTAGGAGACTCGACTTTTAACCTGTTTTGACTTTCATGGATTAGGCCGTACATTCAAATAATTTTCATCAAAGCAAATCAAATTACTTAAAAGAAATCAAAGAGTTGTTTATGAGAATGTAATCTCATTCAAGAAAATATTTTATTCATTTGGTCGAAAGTCAAAACACATATTCCAAATGTCATGATACAATCCTTAAAATGATTTTTTTAGGCTAAGTGAGTGAAATGTATTGGGATTACATCGAAGGCTTGAAAAGGAATCACTTTTTGGAAAGATAGTTGTCGAATGTTGGCTCAAAGGAAGTGAGATACTCGAATGGATGTCATGGGCTCAAGGGCTTTTCAACAAAGGTAGGCTTTTTCTTTTTTTGACTAAGAGGCTTTTCGAGTAAACTCAAACAGTTTTCCGGACTCGAAGGCTTTTCAAGAAAATTGGCTCAAATGGGTATTCTATTTAGAAAGGCCTTGATTTTTTGTTTGTTCCTTGCCTCCTAAGTATCTAATGAAAAACTAATAATCCAATACCATGAATGATGATTTGTGATGCACAAGCGATTTGTTTTTCTTTTTTTATTTTTTAAAGTTAAAACTTATCAACACAAAGTAAGTCATCCTCAATTAGAAAGGCTTTCGAAGGCATGTATTGTAGGCTAAGGCTTGGGCTCATGAATAAAAAGATATAAAAAGGCTCAAAAGCTATTTGAGGGTATAAAGACTCGAGATCATATGATCAACCAACAAAATTATTTTAGGCTTAGCCATATTGAACTTGAAATTTTAATGGTTGATCTCATATTTTAATCTCAATTCTCCTTTCATGTTCACTAATATCATTTTTGGGATTCCATAACCTTTTCTAGCTCGAATCACAATAGGGCCCACTTAGATGACACTTTCTTTTGTTTAATTTCATATATATATATATATATATAATTGTTATTTTTTCCTCATTGTTCTAGAATAATCGTCAAGGTTCTTCTTGATTTTTGTGAACCAAATCCTTACTTTTAGGAGAACATTATTGATTTCATATACCTTCAAATTGCCCCCAATGTGAGGGGTGATCCCATTTTGAGTTATTATCGAACAAAATTATCAAAGGCTCAAAATATGATGATGGAGGATAAGATTTATTTATGAAGGATATATCAAAATTGGCCTTTCTTCATCTCTAGTTTGACTTCGTTGAAGTTAATAAGCTTTCATTCATTTCAAAATCATGATTTATAAAGAAAAAGCAATGGATCAAATCATATCATGACTCAAGTGCGGACCACTTATCATCATCAAATCATTTGGCTTCTTGTTTAGAGCATTATTATATTATTCTAGGCAAGGCTATATTAAAAATGCTTGTAGAGAAAAGATGTTTTTTGTTTTGATAAAAATGAGTTGCCCCCTAGCATTTATAAGACATGTTTTGAAAATCGATCACTTTTGAAACAGGTTGAATGCATTCACCATTTTACTTTTTATGACTTGGACGGTATAAAATTATGAATGATGCTTTCAAATAAATATCTCTCGGCTTTAAACTAATAATAAACTATGCTAAGACAATAGAAACTTCTTTTTTATTCAAAGAAATGGCTTAATCGATGAAAATCACAACACTTTTTACTTGTCCGAGTGTCAACGAGTTAGGCCAATAGTTTTCTTAGTGCAATCATTTGGTGCTTTTAGTGTAAGATCATATTAGATGCCTTAAAGAGAGAATGTAAATAAGATGATGGATAGAAGCAGGCAAAGATGGAAAAATTTTACACGATCGCATAAAATAACATTATTATGGAAGCATGATAAAAAGTTCAGCACATTGTACTTATGAGCTATAATGAAAGAAAGGAAATCATAATCATAATAAGAGAACCACTCAATCTAGGAAACAATAGGCATTTCTTTATCAAATTGATTGCTTAGCTCCTCTCATTGGTTGATTTCGTGTCATCCAATGATAGCATGTTTACTCCCCTAGTACCAGCATGATTTGCTAAGGGATTGGAATTAAGGCTTGGGGGATTTGAGAAATCTTCAAATGAAATCGGGCCTTGATCAATCAAATGTCCCATCTTTTTCTTGAAACTCACACTTTAACACCCTCAACCAAGGACCTAATAGGCTAAGAATATTACCGTCAACAACTTACATTTGAAGTGCAATAATGTTAAGTTACCAAGGCACCGTGACTTATCTATAGATCTAGATGGTACAATTACGTTGTGAAAGTTCACTAATTACGGTTAGGTCCTATGCCTAGTCCCAAATGTTCTATAAAATTTTTCGCATTTCACAATCCTATTTATGTTCTTTAAATCGAACTATCCAAATTTGTGATACTCATTTTTCTTAAATTCATTTCTTCAATTAGTTATACTAATTTATGTGCCGATAATTAATTTAAACCATTACTACGCTAGCAGTTCATTAAAGGTACTTTACTTACATACACACAAATATTTACATTAGAAACTAAGTTATTAGTTCATTACCACCTACTACCAAAATGACTTATTTCCTATTTACATATGGTTTCCTATCCCATTTTATTTATCGTATCATAGCTTTAAGGAGTGCATAACGTAACACGATCATGGCTATAAAGTAAACTAAAATACCTAGTACAATAATAGCTATTGTGTGTATCATGTTCATATGCCCACCATAGCAAACATACATGCGACGGATGCCCTCTTCATCGGTCGGCTCAAAGGTTATGAACACCATTTTTATCTAGGATAGCTACACCATAAACATATACATGAGTAATAACTCAATAAGTTAACATATGCATGTAGTGCATGTGCATGTATATGCATATATAAAATACCGATATATATATATATAATTTTTTGTTTTGATAAAAATGAGTTACCCCTTAGCATTTACGTGACATGTTTTGAAAATCGATCACTTTTGAAACATGTTGAATCCATTCACCATTTTAAGTCTTATGACTTGGATGGTATAAAATTACAAATGATACTTTCAAATAAATATCTCTCGGCTTCAAATTAATAATAAACTACGCCAAGACAATATAAACTTCTTTTTTATTCAAAGAAATGGCTCAATCCATGAAAATCACAACACTTTTTACTTGTCCAGGTGTCAACGGAGTTAGGACAATAGTTTTCTTAGTGCAATCATTTGGTGCTTTTAGTGTAAGATCATATTAGATGCCTTAAAGAGAGAATGGACATAAGATCAATGGAAAGAAGTAGGCAGAGATGAAAAACTTTTCCATTACCCCATAAAATAACATTATTATGGAAGCATG